ACCTCGCACAACTGGCTAACGTCTCTATCTATTGTCGTGACGTCATGGCTCGCTGGCTCACACTTGTGATTATGTCTCGCACTTGTGNACGCTGGCTCGCACTTTGGCAACACTCTTTGGCAGTCAACTCGCCCCTAGAAAACCCGCCCTTGGAAACTTGCCCCATAAAAAATGTACACTTCCTAGACCATGCAGTCTTCAAAATAAAAATTGTACCCTTTGGTAATCAACTACATTTTCCACATACATAGAAATTTTTGAAACTTTATTAAAAAAAACCTAAATCATAATTCACCACACTAGACACTTTTTGACAAAAATGAAAAATTACGACTTTGTTACCCAATGAGAAGTGTTCTAACATAGACAATGGGTCGTGTCTCATATTATTTGTTATAGTTTTATTATTCATTATTTTCACTTGACTCGCATAAATAATTTTGTTCGAAGAACATTTATATGCAGTTGTACTTCGCAGCACTTCACTTGCAATTTGCAATTTCTAGTTTTTAAACCTATGATGCTGATAATATACGCCCTTTAAAAAGTAACAAAAAACATAACATAAAATACCTATTTCAAAACTTTAAATATTAATCTCTGCCACCCTTGTTACATAACGGTAATATAAATGTATAGTGTAGACAAAACTTTAGTTTTTGACAGGGAATTTAAAATGTAATAACAATCATTATTTTAAGTGATAGTAAAATATTACCAAAACTTACAAAATTTGAGGTTGGCAATGAAGACTTGTCAAATGTTGATCCCCATGTGCTGTTCATTTGCATGTTAAGCAAGCTCTGTGGGGCTGGACTGGTTGCTCTACTGGACGACTTTTTGACATCCTGTTGAGAAAACACATTAACTACAGTCATTCCTATATTTAAAACAAAAATCACATTTATACAAAAAAAAAAAACTTCCTGTGGTGAACCTGAGAGAAACATCACTGACCAATCAGCGTTGCCAAAGGATTCGGTGATAGTGTGTAGCAATTTTTATGGATCCAGGCTTATTAGTGTGTTGCGTTATTATGCTAATATAGTTTAATCATAAACATTATATAACATTTACAGATTTATACCATTCACATTTATTATGTCAATAAATCATATTAATTTTTTTTTAATGCCATCCCACTGACGAATTCGGAATTATTATATTTTACACCTGTAAAACATTTTCAGATTTTGGCTGCATTCACGGTAGTATTTCAATAGCAAAGCAAAAACAGAAAACAATTACACACTTACCTGTTGCAAACCAGTAAAGGCCTAAAATATGATAAGAGGAGCGGAGTGGGCAATGGGAGGTTGAGGTAGCAAGACAGCAAGCAGGAACAATGGTCAACAATGAAAAGCAATAAAGAAAAATAATCATATGCATGCAAATTGGAAACATTATGGTTGTTCACTAATCCATGATATACCGATAATAATCATTAATATCTCTAGTATTATCAACACTGTTAAATAACCCATTAAAAATATCAAGGAAGTGATCGTTCATATCGCCAGTATTGTCAACACTCTTCAGTATTTGTATAAGTGATAATGTTAGCAACTATCCTCCATATAAGGGCATGGGAGATTGTGGTAGCAAGCAAGAACAATATTTGAAAATGGAAAACAAAATAAAGAATAAAATGGATGCAAACTGGAAACATCATGTTTCTTCAATAATAAATAATATACAGAAAACAATCACTAATACCATCAGTGTTATCAATGACTTTTAGCAACTACCCTTCCATAATATAAAGGAAGTGATCGCCTGTCGAACACTTTTAAGTCCATGATATCAGGACATGATTTCTGCTGTTGCCAATGTTATATATTATAAGATAACTTTATTATCCTACATTACACTAGAATGTGTTTTGCCCTTTGACAATATAAAGCACAACAAATGCAGTGCATGATTTTAAAATAATGAGTAGAGCAGGGCACAACAATATTTAGCAAATAACATGTTGTAAAAGCTGTCATCATTAGATCCATCAACACCTTTCAGCAACCACCATCGACACCATACAAGAAGCAAATCCCTACCAAAACAGTTGACAGCTTTCTCATGGCCCGCTCAAGTTTCTCTGACTTGACGGTATCCTGCGACATAGTGGCATTCTGCTTCGTCTGCAACAAAGTGGTTAGGCTCTCTTTAGCATGTTCAGTGGTGCTGTCATCCTGCCAAGCTTTCATTGGTCGCTCTTGAAGACCTAAGTCCAGTTGAGCAACTTAAAAAATAGAACAAATTTTTACAATAACTAAGTGTATACTTTGATGGTTATAACTTGAATTTTCTTCAAGGAGGTTGGAGTGTTCCCTCACCAACTATGGCAGGTACAGTGCACCCTCCAATTCGAGACCCCTCTAATTCGAGACCACTTTTCCAAAGAGACCACCCCAAAAGACCACCCAAAATTTTCAGGTCCCAAAGGTGGTCTGGAATTGCAGGGTGAACTGTACTACCATACAATATTGATAATAATAATGATAGTAATAATAATGATAATAAAATAATAATGATGATAATAATAATGATAATAATAATAATAATAATAACAATAAAATTAATAAAATAATAATAATGATAATAATAATGATAGTAATAATAATAATAGTAATAATAATAATAATAATAATAATAATAATAATGATAATAATAATGATAGTAATAATAATGATAATAAAATAATAATGATAATAATAATGATAGTAATAATAATGATAATACAATAATAATAATGATAATAATAATGATAGTAATAATAATGATAATAAATTATATTCTTTCAATTTAGTTTTATAGGAAAATTTCAGCCTCAGCTAAAGAAGATTTATACTTGGGCTAATGTGTAATTATAAAGCAGTGTATCCTATGCCTATATAATGGCATTTACATGAATCTGGTTCAAGCTGTCTGATGCACTTGGATAGCAATGACAAAATTAATAGCATAATTGTAGATCAAAAATATGAATGCTAACAATGATGTTGCCACTTTAGAAAGTTTTTAAGTCATAAAAATTCCAAAATAAACATAAACCAATTTTATTAGTGTACAAACATCTCAATCTCATATATTTCAAACTTACTTTTAGAATCGTAATAGTAAATTTGAACTGGATGGCTTTCTCCATAGGCACAGAGGGCTAAGATGTGATCATAGGGATGGTAGTCGACATCACAGACTGGATGGTGGTAGCCTAGCGTGCTGTATGAGGCTACTTGATCACCTTTAAATGTACAACATGCAAAAGATAAAATTGTTAAAATAACCACAAATTCTATACATCCATATAAAGCCATTTTACATTAGTAGTAGCATGATAGAAATAAATTACATGTGGGATAAAATATATCAGTTCATTTTTTGCTTAAGTGAGATTTATCAATATTGCTTTAGCTTAAAAATTGCTTAAAATTAAAAAGTTGATTTTTAAGCTAAGATTTTGCTAAGATGCTTTGATAAATCAGCTTAGGATATTTGCTTAGAGACATCTTAACTTTTTTACTTTTGCCAAGTGGAAATTGATAAATACCGGGCAAGGTACTAAAGCTCACAGCAAGGTACAAAATAAGCAGACAAACGATACCTGTATCGGTGTTCCATACATAAGCCTGGCAATCCTCACTTCCCGAGATGACAAATGTTCCACACTCCGTCAGTGTGCTACGGACATGCTCACGAAAGTTCAGGGCACCCACATATCGCTGGATGATAGCATTACTAAAGGACAAGATGATATGAAAAATTGCCTATTAAAAATTTACTGCAGTAGAATCCAATCCTATTTAACTACTAAATTACATGTGATTAGAAGCTTTGCTGTCTTTTCATACACAGTAGCAGTTCTGAGCCTTTGTCTTGTAAACCGAACTATCTCAAACTATCTAAACTAAATAAAGATGGTGCAAGTACCTTGTTTTATGTTTAAATTCTTAAGTTATAAGCTTCCTAACCCAATGCATGTGCATTAGCTTATAAGTGATGACAAAAAATGTGATGTGATGAATATTATTTATAAATCAAAGTAAATTTCTCACATTCTTAAGTCCATCATGCGAATACTGTTATCTCTGCCATGCACCAGTAGCCTCTTGCCTCCAGGGTGCATGCATAAATTGTTAATTGAAACACCAACCAATTCACGCTCCTGGATGATGGATTCTACTTGCCATCCACCACTTGATACTAAAATGTACAAATGTAATTAAATTAATACAGGTATTTTAAAGACATTTTAACAATTACAGTAATTAATTAATTGAGGTAATGAAGGCTGTGAATCCCTATATTTTTATATGGTTTAATCTATTTTCATTTTCATATCTATTGTATAACCAAAATGTGGATATTTAGATTAAAACTAATATTTACGATAATGACTCAATGTCAATTTTGGACAATTTTTGATCGATCATCTGTCACCTGACAAAATTGTGACATTTAAAAAAAAGTAACATTTGTATTATATTTAGAAAAGGGCGCTTAATTGAATATTGTATTAAAACATTTCACTATGTGTAGAATAATATACCACCTTTACATGCACATTGACGTTGAAGTGTTTTTCTTTGTTATAGGCTACTAATACTAAATACTAAATTACTAATATACTAATAATAAATTAAAATATGATTGCTGTGTATGGGTCTCAAGAAACCAATTAACATAACAATTTCTACACCATTAAAGCTATTATAATTTGAATTAAAAAAAAAAATGGTCTTGTTATTTTGCATTAGAAGACTTGACTTATAAAGACATAATTCTCACCTGATGTTGTTGCTCTTGTATTTAGCCTCTTCTTCCACACTATTATTGTACCTAAGCTGTCGCCCGAATACAACTGATTTCCATCCAATGAGAAGCAAAGACAGTTCACAAGACCCTTGTGGTTGTCCAGCTCTTGTAAAAGCTAAACAAAGACATTTGTATCAGAGCATGTCAAAATTGAAGACATGTAAATCCAACATAAATGAAGAGTAGCTTATTTTGTATATTTCAATAATGTAATGTTCAACTAAAAATCAAAACAAGAATGTTAAGAATGTTGTCAAGATCTTGTAAAAGCTAAACAAAGACATTTGTATCAGAGCATGTCAACATTAAAGACATGTAAATCCAATAAACTTGAAATATAAAGCAAAAATTAAGAGTAGTTTATTTTATATATTACAATAACGTTAATTAATATTCAACTAAAAATCAAAACAAGAATAAATTTTCCTATTCAATTAATAGACAGTCAAATGAGGCTTGCCATTGCAAAACCAGCGTACAGTGGCTAAATGATAAACTGAGAAATTAGCATTAAAATGTGGTAGTATTGTATACTTTAGTACACAGAGATGCTGTACTACTGTTACTGATAACTTTGGCAGTAGTAGGTCGATTCCAGTAAGTGATCCATCATTTTACAGCTTATAATGTGGGGAATACGAATATGTTAAAAAGCCAATTTTCTTGCATTGGTCACTGACGCTGGTTTTGGCATGGCAAGCAACAAATAATATCATTCATTGTATTTTAAGATTTATATTAATTTTGTTTAGGTTTTCCTCATTATATATTAGTCCCTCTTTAGAGAAAACCAACAACACTGAGGAGCTGAATAAAACATGGGTGTATAGGATTACATCCTGGGGAGCTCACTTGCATACCAACCAAACAGGGGGTGCCACAGCCACTTCAAGACATAAAGCACTTGCGCTACCTATTTTACTGAAAATTCTAATGGACTTGAACTAACATTTACCAAAATCGCACTGTGCTCTAAAATATGACAGGAAAAAGGCCCCTCAATAGTGCCAGAGATGGCGCAATATTTACTGTTTCCCGATGGAAAAAAGTGTTCCGCCTGGTCGCGATCTTGTGGCTGTAACATAGGTAGGCTTAGCACCCAGTCTAATTTGAAATTCCCGCTAACATCGTGCGGAAAATCTTGCACTTTGATACAGGATAGGCCAGGGACTTTAACTACCAATTTCACCCAGGCTATTTCCCACACTTGTACTACGAAGTCCTCGAAAATATACCCCATAAATGCAGCACCTCCCAGTATAGAAATATTTAAGAGTACGCTCTCGGGGATTACATTAAGGAACATTGACAAATCAGAGCTAAGCCCATGTCACTCAACATAGAAGCTATGAGCCAAGCTTCTACATTCTGTTACTTTACTATACTTACCTCTCCATTGATACCACTATTATCAGAGTTCCAAAAGCGTACAATGTGATCAAAACACCCGGTAACAACAATGTTGCTTTGGTGTGGGTGGAACCGTGATGCATATACATAACTAGGGTGAGGAAAAACTTTACTTGCTGTCCCTCCGGGAGTTGCAAGATTCCAAATTCTGAAAGAAATAAAAAATAGGTAGTGAAGTATACAGTAGTCATGATCCTAAAGACAAACATTTTATTTATTTCATTTAAATTCAATATCAAGTAGTCATTAAGGCTCCTTTTCAAGTTAGCTATCAAGGTAAGTTTACCTGAAACATGGCCTGGAAGAATAGCTAGGCTGTTCCCCTCAAGCAGAAAAGCTGAGCAGCAATATTGTGTGTAAAGTAATACTTCATCATGCACTTTGTGTGCCCTAAAAGTTTGAATTTAGACTTGCATTCAAATATTAGAGTGGCATTTGCGCTTAGCTACATATTTAAGTCTAAATGCAATAAGTGGTACGATTTAGCCAATGTAAAGTTACAATTTGTAAAATTCCTTCATGCAAAAAATGGCTTAAGACTGGGAAGAATTTTATTACAAAACATTATAAGTTTAGCAATCTCATACAAATATCAATTCAAATTCAAATATACAAATTCAATTCACTTCAATTTATTCACCAACAACAATACACTTGAAACATAATTTATCAAGACAATTAAAATGGTAAAATATTGCTGAAGAGAAGGAGACACTTTAAAACTATTGCGAGCTTGGCAAACAGTGTTCCTCCATATATTCAGAAGTTAAAAATATGAATCAATTAAAATCTTAAACTACAGGACACTTAACTACCAATAAAATTACAACTTAAAAATTATGAGATAAAACATATAAAATTATTTTGAGTAAAACAATAGAAGATGTTCCTAAAATTTAGTTTTCAAATTTGCTGGAGTGTTTGTTTCTTTTAAGTCTAATCCAGAGTTTAGGTCCTGTACACAAATTTGTAACACTGGTAAAATTAAAGATTTTTTCGCATGGGTAAAATATTGCAGTTAAATCTTGTTTAATTAGGGTTGTCAGTGTTTTTTTTTAAATGAATTAAAATGTGGGATAATATTATTAATTGAATTATACATAAAAAGTAGCCAATTTGGAGTTTATTTATGCCTTTTAATTGAAGTATTTTAAATACGGAATAATTTATCTGTATCAAATAAACAATTGAAACTGAATTGAATATATCAGGTGAGGTGTTTAAAGAAATAAATTAAACAAACAAACAAACAAACAGGTGTCTATGTTTTTGGATAATATGTATCTGTGTTTTTGAGTGCCACTACAATTATATATGAGAACCTTATATATTTGAACTTCATGTACAAAACATACCGGGCTGTTCCATCAGAAGATGCTGAAACTAATTCATCGTTGTATACAGACCAACAGACATCATAGATGATGCTATAATGACCAACAAACTCACATCGTAATTCACCAGAAGGAATCTAAGAAATAACAAAACTTAATCATTTATACAGTATATAATTTAATGCAAAAAATGTTCTCATGGAAAAATTAAACTACATCAAATTATGAATTTTGGTATCTTCATATACTTTAATTTTACATAAGACTTACATCATAAACAACCAATGGATAACCAGACTTGTCCTTGCAACAGCAAACAATTCCACGGCCATCATGTGAAAACTTAATCACAAAACAACCCTTCTTACCCCCGGCTAGTGAAAGCATCAGTTTGTTGGGGATTCGACACATTTGACCAGGTAAACGCGTCCAGTTGGTGGGATTCTTCTCACTATTAACCAAAGAAAAAAAAAGGACTTTATGCACATGACATGAAAATTGAATATAATAAGTTTAGTTAATACACACATATATACAAATAATGATTCTCAATCCAAAATGATTTAGGAGAGCTGGCAGACAAAGGCAGATGAATTATATTAATGACTGATTCATATTCTATCTTTTATACTATTAATTAACAGTTCATTCCTTTATGTTCATTAATGAATACAAAACTACCTTTACAAAAAGCGCGTGTGTGTGTTGGGGGGGGGGTGTGGGTGTGTGTGTGTGTGTGTGGGTGTGTGTGTGGGTGTGTGTGTGGGTTCACTTCCGAAATTCCTTAAAATTTGTATTTTGTTCTATCTTGCCAATATTGAATAAATTTAATCAAAAGCTTTTCATAATGTGAAAAAATATATATACATATACACATATAAATCCTTGCTAATTGTATTCATATTATTTTGAAACACTTCCATTCATCAACTGACACAAATATTACCCAAGTATTAAACACTAGCAGTTACTTACTCAGATCGTAGTGCTTTATTCCTTCCATCCAGTGTCTTCTTCAATTCCTTGTACGTCATTCTACCTTGCTCCTATCGCAAATAAATAGTACTTTTGATTGTTCTGATAATAATATAAAAATCAGTACACTATATTCAAACCAAACTCCCATCTAATAAAAATATTATAAATAAGAAGTAGAAAATCCCAAAACAAATTAATATCAGGTAAAAATAACATTAAAAAAACCTATTTGGTAATCTAAATTGGTATATTATATGAAATAAAAAATTACATAAATATATGGTTGTTATTGCTATTGTACCATTTAATGAGATATGTAGTCATTACTATTAATGTGATAATCATTAAAACTATGTGTGATACGGTAGTCTGTACTGATGTCTGGTGCTACTGAATTGACATACAGTACAGTCTGTTGTCATCATTAACACATGGGATGTGAATATATTTGACCATTATTATAGTACCAACATATCTAATGAAATCCCAAAAATCAAAACACACCTCAATAAATGATCCCAAGCAAAATATGAAGGAAAAATAAAAAACCCAATTGAATGAACATAGCTGATGTGTAATGCTATTATCAGAATTAAATGGTGAAAATTGACCTCTTTTGCCACAAAAACCCATATAGTGAAAATGAATATGCATAATATTCAATTTACCTGTTGATGAGCTCTAATAAAAAAAAAATAAATAGCACAATGTTTATTTTAATTGAAGCAAACATAAAAGATATACTGCCTTAGTTCAATTTTACAAAATCTTAGCATTTTTTTCTTCATGACTACAGCAACTCCACTCTCTAAGACTGGAACTGTCTTAAATGAGTTTAAATAGAGCATCAAGCAGTTAATCCTTTTTGACAAGGCCATATACTTGCTGTGAATTTGAAGGGGGAAAAAATAAAACATTTTATCTCTAACTTACTTTTTGAGTTGCAAACATTGATCTGAAGGCAGGCTCCATGCTGCTTGGTGTGGTAACTGGTTTGATGGTGATATACAGTGTTGCTGGGTATGGTTGCCTGACGATACTACTCCACCACTGGTACACCTGGCAATAAAACATTGTACAATATTTTTTTTTTTATTTATTCAATTTCAAGATGATATATTTGCTATTAATGAATCAACCTTTATGTAGATCTGGCTTGTTGTATCGACCAACCAGGCTTATAGTGAGCAGGGACGCCGCCAGGATTTCCCCGACGGGGGGTTCAAGGTCCCAGACAAGGGGGCTGATGTCCCCGACGAGAAAAAAGTGGGCATGGTCGGACGTCACTAAAAACCCTGTCGAAAGCAGTCCAGGAGGCGAAGTCCCCCGAAAATATAACAATTTAGCGGTTTCAAAGGCTTAGTTAAGAAAGGCTTACTTTAGAAAATACATATAATTTATTTTTTTCTCCCCGACGTGGGGACTGTAGCCTCCGCTCACTCCCTGTAGCGCCGCCACTGCTGTTGAGCTCTACTAGATGGATCAACACTGTAGATATGCTGGATATATATACCATGTGGTTTATCTGTTCTATTGTGTAGAACCCTGCTGCCAGTATTATTATATTTGGATTTGCCAAATCAATAAATACAAAATAAACAAGAGTTTACTAAAAAACAAAAATGCTAAAAAAAATTCCAAAATCCTTACATCTACTTGTCCTGGCTTTGTCTTGAAACTGAATGGTGGATAAAAAAGCTGAAGACGAACTTTCTTTTCTGTGTTAAGTGTTTTGTTTGAACCAATCACCTGAAAAAAACAAAAAAACAAGAGGGTATGATGTATAAACATACCAGCAGAATGATTCATCACCAAAAAATGAATTTTAACCTGCATTTGGCAAGCTACAGACTAAGTAGATAAAAACTCCTAGCATGAATGTTCCAAATTTTGAAACTCTCATCTTAATGGTGCTAATATGTAGTAAAAACCATGTGGTGCACCCCATGAGGTATTGAGGGTATTTCAACATTTCAAATAGATTCCTCTATTCGTCTTCAGGAGAATGAAAGAGGAAGTATTAACATGTTATGATACCATTTTGTATGTAGTTTTTTTTTCTATTTGTCATGACAAGCTTTAAAAACTTGAAATTCCCCAGTTTCATGAAATAAAACACAACAAACATCGCATTAGGTACTTTCTGGGGCTACTGCTTGAGTGTGTAATTAGTGCAGTTGTGGCCCTCAGCCTGGCAGTGTGATAATCACAAAAAGTAGCATATATGTTTCAAGTATTACTCATCCCTAGCTTAAATGCAACGCATTATAATTCTTGTCCATGACAGTGAATGTGTTAAACACAAGAAGCTACAAAGACTTTTGATTCATAACATAAAAATATCTTTTTTCAAGCTGAGTCATTAGCAGCAGCAAAGAGTGCGATAGCGCTGGAGATGCAAGTGTCGGTGCTATACAAAAACAAACTTATTATCATTATTTATTAAAGTTGGTTTGTATAAACACAATACTACAAAATTTTTATATTAGAAACCAAGAAATTCATACTAAACTGAACAAACCTTTAAAAATGCCCAGGCAACACGGTGCCAACCGCCCTCACCAGCAACTGTATGTGATTTGCCATTCACAGAGTTCATGCTAACAAAGTCTAGAATCTGTACAACAAAAGGAAAAATGAATATTAAGTACTGTCCAGAATATCAAATTATATTTGACTAAAACATGTGACATGCCATGGTCATGATGACATCACATCATGACCATATATAGGCACACCATGACTATATATGGGCATGCACAGTTTTTTGTCAGAGTCTGGACAGAGCTATAGTATTTATAACTGAATGACATTAATAACAAGTGTATGTTAATTACAATATATGTAAGAGTTCACCATGATATGAGTATTGTGTTAGGTTACATAGTACAAAAATAGGTGGCAACCTGAATTTTTATGTACACCTACATTCATTAGCACTTGAGCATCTAATGAGAAATTCTGACAAAAGAAATACATGCTTATAAACATGTAATTAAAGCAGAACTGTGATACTTAGGTGGGCATATTGGACCTGCAAGTTAGTTAATGTTAGAAGTGCTCAAGTTGAAATTTTAGCAATTGGAAGTTATATCATTTTTGATAGACAACCCGCTTTTTTCCCCCCAATCTCTATAAATTACCTTGATAATTCATTAAGTAACACACGAAGAAATGATGAAAACATTAGGAATCTAAAAGATTTTGATTAAAAACTGAATTTAATAAAATTATATTTTACAATCCACGTACATCAAATTACAGTAGATGACAAGAATAAAGTTTACTCGCCTAATGTCATGAGAATGATGAAAACTTTTGGATACTTAACTTTTGATTATAATACAATAAAAAAAAAAAAAAAAATTTTGTAACCAAGGACCAAGGTAGGTTAGTAGTAGGTGACATATAAATAAAACATAACTGACCTCAAAGAACATCACCACATCTGGGTAGTTCTCTTTGCCACAGGTGAGATACAGATAACTTTCATTCAAAAGAAGTAACTCTTCCCAGCTAGGAATCATAGATCTACACAAGAAAAAAACTTAAGTAGAATTGTAGCTTGGTTGTTCTGGTCTCCCAGTCCTTGAATAGAGGGCAAAATCACTGCAAAATTGCTAGAAACTAAACACAGGCCTCCCTCTAATTAAAGATCATCACTTTTCATGATCCCAAATTAACAAGTGTCTTTTATCTTTATTCTATTCTGGTGTTTTGCATCGCCTGCTCAGCACCTGGACGAGTGTGTGTTTAGCCACCAAGTGCTCATTTTAGTGTTTCATATACATATATATATTTTAGTAGATGAATGTTAAAATTTAAGGAATCTAACTATTCTAATTAGAGATTAAAGCTGCTAAAGACCATGCAAACCCTGGTCCCAAAGTGGTCTTTAATTGGAGGGAGAACTGTAGTTTGACAGCTTAATATAATTTTCTGATATTTCCCCATCGGTGTGATGGATACAGTGCTATATAAAAACTACACTATTATTATTATTATTCCAATTAAAAAGTCTTTAAATTAAAGAAAAACAATTTGTTTCAATCTGTGTCTCATTGGAAGTTAATATCATATTAAATCCTTTTAAATGAGCAATTTAATGTTTCATTTGACATATTTAGGTATTTCCCAAAGTTTGACCACAGTTCTATATCGTAATTTTACTTACTTTCTCTTTTTGTACTCAAATGGTTGAGTCAAGATGGGTAGGATGAAGTCCAGCTTATCATTTTTGTTCTCATAATAAGAGGTCACTGCACGGTCACTGTAAGTAAATACATAAAAATAATACAAAATTTTAAATATGAAAACATAGTTATATTATATACATATATATTAATAGTTATTTGTTAATTATACATCATTCCTTTAAGCTAAAGTTTACATTACTCAAAATTAAAATGTGTGTTCTCCAGGAAGCTGAGAATGTGCCCCTCAGGTAGCTGTAAGGATGATGTGCTCTTGATCCAGTTATCGGGGGTAATAATGTAAAATGCACAGGGACAATTAACTGCAATATACATTATATAAAAGGTGCATTATTATTTTATTCTTTTAACTACACTCATGCCAGGTCAGCTGCCAAATAGGAATAAAAAGAAAATCTGCCCATTTCAACTAGAAAAACATGTACTTTAATTATCATCGTAATCATTCATTGTTTGCATTATTCAATAATTATTACTTAAGGTTAAAAAAAAAATTATAACAGACAAAACTAATTTAATGTCTGAGGAAGAGGTTTTAGATTAAAATGTTTACACTTTTCCAACTCACAATTTAGATTTCTTCACATATGCACCTGTGTTGATATCCACTACATGTACACGCACTAGTGGGTGTGCAATGTACAGGTCAGCCTTCAGACGATCGCTACGGTGAACATAGATGCCCATTACTCGTCCATCGTCTTCATATTCAATTGGTTTACTGCCAATTTCATCAACAGCTTCTTCTTTAAAAATGGTAAGAAGCAGAAATACTATATAATCATAAATATCAACAGCAATGTGGGTGTGTTTTCCTTATTGGCGGCTAATTCAAGTGTCCTAAGTTTGGTAGTTTTCGCACTCATTTCACTTCAATCTTTTTAAATATCATTATTACCATTGATTTACTTTGGCCTAAGACTCATGAAAGCATACTCTGTTAGTTTTGGTTGGGGTGGGCTGTACTTGAGGGAAATATTCATTAGAGTGGAAGGAAGTGAGTACTTTGTAACTGCAATGAATAATCACTAAAGTACCACCAAGTATTACAAGTAAGCTGGAAGAAGTCACTTTCAGTGGAACTAGTTAAATGAACTTTATTTTGCTGTGCATGGTGACACCAATTGGGACTGTTTTCAGTGAGACAATTGATAGTAATTTAGCAAAAAACATGCAAATATTATGAATTTGCAGAAGATGTGTTATTTTCCAGGAGATTCTTGCTTGCTTGTGGGAGTGTGGGAGACGAATCCGATTTCCAGGAGACGCCTACAACTTGGGACCTCTGCTATTGGCAAAGATACTAGAAACTCAAGATAGAGTTCTCCACAGAAAAAAACTGTTCCACCGAAATGCACGGTGGGAATACAAATAATGGGGCGTCGCGTACGACTGGATCTAAGAAACTTCTGCCAACGTTACATAACTGCGAATACATAACTTCCTTTTGCGGAGGTAGAAATTGTTGTCATTATCCATAAGATACAAACAAGTAGGTGTAAATAAATCAAAACAATAAAATGACAGACACAAAAGCGCAGAATCATGTGACAAAAAAAAGAAGGGTGCCGTGTGCGTCTGGATATACTTAGCAACAGAAGGGCGCCCTGTAGGTCTGGATCAAGTATAAAAAACTTGCATTATAAAAAGAGAAGGGTGCTGCGTACGTCTATACAAGTGCTCTATCTTGTATTTCTAGTATCTTTGCTATTGGTCATCACATGAATGGATTAGTTTCATGATAGTGGTAAAAAATAAACAAACATCACTAAATACTGTAGATTTTTAAACTTGAAATAAAAAAATGCAGTAGCCAATTATCTCTAAGAAGAAAAATTATCAAAGCCAATTTGAATTATCATTAAAAGAAAGGAACAACGAAATTGATTGGGTGAGGTTGACTGCATTAGGTACAGTTGTATTGGTTTTCATAGTACTAAATACTAACCATTCTTCTTTTTTTTCCTTTTCCTTCCTTTTGTTGTTTTCCTTTGGTTTTCTTCCTCTTCATTCTCTTCATCTATATTTTTTGTATCAGCTTTTTCTTCCTGCAATACCTCATTACCTTTATCCTCCAAGGAATTCTCAGTCATTTCCTTTGGTCTACGCTTCTTTTTCTTCACTCTCTTTTGTGTGTCTTCATCATCCTCTTTTTGTTCTTTTTCTTCTCTACAAATACAAAAAGAAAAACAAAATTTCAAGACAAAGGGAAAAAAAATCTTATTAAATGTTTCTAATTGGATTAATGTTAAATATTGGATCAAATTTGAACCCTACTTTTCTTGTAAATTTGATTTTCTAGGTGATTTTTTCTTCACTCTCCTTGGCCTTTCCAGACCACCGGTATTAATCACTTCATCTTCTTCAAAACCTTTGTTGATTTCCCCATTCTTCGGTGGTAGTTTTCTTCGTCGCTCGTTTGTTACATTCTTCCGAAATCTTGGACTGTCTGTTCCATCATACGTATTGGCTAACAGGGAGGCATCTTCTGCTTTTTGGAGGTCAGCTCCTTCTTTCAGTTGCTCCAGCTGATTATTGATGATTAAAAAGAATAAATGTTAATTTCTTTTTATAGTGCATTCATTGAAATGCTAAAGTCCTTACAATGCTAATAATAATTTTTTTTAAATGTCTTTTTCTATTTTATTTTATTTTATTTTATATTTTGCTGGGAGTACCACATCTCTAAAATGATAGTGGTTCCGCTTCTGCTGCTCCCTGGCTAACCTAATTATTCTTATATGTTGGTGAATTTCAGATTTTTTGTTTTTGTTATGTTTTATATTGTTATTTGTATTGCCAGAATGTGTAAAATAAAAAAATAAAAAAATGAAGCCAGCAAAATGCACCAAGATCTAAAGCCAGGCAATCACTGCGCCTTGCAGTTTTCGACTGACATGATTCTATGGAGAACGCAACATCATGATGTGTGCGCAACAAATCGTTATTGATCACGATCCCTTCGACTGTCACAGACAATCAGCAGATGGCGTTGCATCATCGACGGTCGTACCATGCATTGAGTGCCTGGCTTTAGAACTAGCCACACAGAAACAAGAGAGCAAAAACCTCAACCATTTCAACCAGTTCTCAGTAAAGGAAGAATATTTGTCGAGTGTTTGCATTATATTACTCAATCTAGCATTACAACTTTCTTGACATGTGCACAGGGAAAAAGAGCATTCTGGTATGCAAAGAATGAGAAAAGAAAAAAACAAGAAAAATCCTCACCACTTGTTCCTCTCTTTTCTTTCTAGTCTTCCTTTTCTTTGGTGCTGCTTTCTTCTCACTGAAATAATTTGCATACATGCTTAGATATTTGGCAAGTAAAATAACGTATTGTTTGTCAATATTAACTACATCTATACCAGCTATTTTGGAGTTCCATAAATTAGCAAGTATCTTATATCAATTTCACACTGTTAGCCTACTGTAACTATAGAAATAATGTGTAATAAACTCATGAGTTTTCGTCAGGTAAAAAGGCGTCTTCGACAACATGACTTATTTTCTGTATCATTTTGTCGTGTTAATGTATGCAAAAATGGTTTTATTTCACGATTATTTAGTTTGTAAAATATTTTTTTTGCAAAATGTCCTGACGTTGATCTGTTTTTTAATTTTTAAATATGTTTAAATGTCACTTAAATAATTATATTTCTCGTTAGTATTGTCTGTTCTGAGTGTAATTTTTGAATATTTTGAGTTTAATTTTAATTTCAATTAATATACATATATATATAGTAATAATGACAATAATTTTTTAATGTTTTTATAGGCATATCTTGTGATGATTTTAATGTTTATTTTTGCAATTTTCGCCTGTAAGTGGGAACAAAGTGTTCCTGCTTGATGATTGTTTGAAATATATATATATATATATATATATATATATATATATATATTTGGTTTACATTTAAGCCATTACTTTAAAGAAATAAACAGGGTTCTGGGGGTTTATTTAAACATTTAATTTCCTTTTTAAAGTATTAATGAAAATTGATTAAATTTTTGGATAGGCTGTTTTCGCTCGTTTTTGCTCTCTGAGAACAGAGATATATTTATTTTGCTTTTTGCTAATCCTGTCCCTGATTCTTGGTCTATTGTTATATTTGTTTGTGAGGTTTGACGAAATAAATGAAATGAAAATTTCAGTATTTCAGTGAAATGCAACTTTAGTTAATCTCTTTGCTAGCTATTTATTTATAATATAATATTTCTTGGAAGGTTTGCATGGCAAGTAACAATATTGAAACAACTAAACTTTCAATACACCGTAAGTGTAAGAATATGGTTTTTTTGGATAAACCCCTGGTTAACAACATCATTTGTGTGTGTTTCTTACTCTGAATTTTGGTCAGCGGCTGCCTGTAAGAGCTCTTCAAACCTTCCTTTTGTTGAGCTTGTCATTACGACAATTGAAACTATCGAGCATTAATGACACACTTGATCAATGACAGCATAATCTACAAGGAAATGAGATACATAATTTAGTCCTGTATAATAAGTTCAATAATTAAAATGCAAATAAGCTAGGCCTACACTATATGGCATATGCCTATATTACAGTGCAGAAAATATTTGATTTTGTGATTACTTGACATTAGGTCTTGTCCTAAACTCAGCTGCACAATTATTACTTGGCAGAATCAAGTCTTTATGTATAAAATAGAGCCTATGTAATCATTATTAACTATCCATAAATATTAAGTAACATCTACATATTTGTAGAAGTAGACTGTAGATATGATATGCTGCTCTAGTTTAGTGTAAGCATCAACTGTTAAGTGCTACATGCATTTGAAGGCAGGAGACTCATAATATTCTAAATCAATTTTGTCATATCTTAAGTATCTCAGAAATGTTACAATTACAAGCCTCGTCAAGATTTCTTGAAGCGTTATTGTGGTTATTTTCATACAAAAAAGAACACATTAATAAGAAAACTGAGGCTGAAATTGCTTAAAAATTAAGAACAAAAAAAAGAACAAATTGAGGCTGAGAAACACTATACTGGTTCTTATAAATAAAATAAAAAAGTACTACACTTAGACCAACCTATTACCTGTCTATATTTAATTTTGTATAACAGACCCTTCCATAAACCATTATATTAAGTCCGCGATCACGATACAGATATTTAAGAATAGTATACACCAATACGTTTATACTTTAATTGAGGTCTACGATACTAAAGATATCGTTTGGTAGTACATTTCTGTCATTCGTTAAACGCATCATCAATATTGACACGACCAACGCGTTACTAACAAATAGGCCTACGGAGTTTTTATCGTTCAGGCTATTACAAATATGATATAATTATGTGTTCCTTCTAATCAATTAGTGAGAAATAATTATAAAAACAAATAACATACATGATAAACTAAGTTGGAATGCAGCTTCGTAATGTAACCTGGCATTTAATAGATTTTCCCTGAGGCATTTCCCCTGGAGTGAGTCGCATCCCAAGAGCGCTTCACAGAAGACGTTCACATGACTCACCGAGTTTGTCTCGCCATAGTGGTAGTTCGGGACATTCGAAGTTTCTACGTGCTGATTAAATAGTAGGCCAATTCCAAGTTTTTGTTAGATTCGCTTATTTACCGTATTTACTGTGTCTTTTAAAAGCAAAAAAAAAATTTTTTTTAAGGGGAAAACAAGCGTTTTCTTTATGAATTAATGTTAATTCGTTATTTTTTTTTTCAGATAGGCCAATTTTTTTAAGATGTCAATATTTCTGCCGGCCTTCTTCATGTGCAATTTTATCTTGGTTCAAGCATCTGACCCATTCAATTATAACAGTAAGTTGCATTTGCTCTTTTTAGTTTGGTTTAAGTCTGTCTCTTATACACATCTAGATGTGTATAAGAGACAGGTCTAAGGTAAATACCTCCATGGTAAGACATATAAACAACTGTTAATTCTTGAATATTAAGGCCTGCCATTGCAAGTTTTCTAATCATAAATAGTTTTCTATTTGCTGTACTAATAATATCGTGAATTTGAGAATTCCGTTTCAAATTGCTTTGCAGCATAACTCCAGGAATTTTATCTGAGTTCACAACTAGGAGTTGGTGACTATCAACCGTCACTGCGTTGCATTTATTGGGATGACGCTTTAGAAGGGAATTAAGATTAGGCCTATCTTGAACTATACCGGGTGTGTACTACTTGATCTACGTTATGGTCAAATCGTTTACGTATTTCCACATATGTACATTACCGCCTCAATCACAGTCAGTGGCGTAAAGACGGGGCCGGGTCGCTGTGGGACTGGGGGACCTTTTGTGGGTCCTTTTGTGGGTCTCGGTCGCTAATTCCATTGTGGAATTTTAGATGTGCTCGTTTTCTAATCATGTTGTTTTTATTCTAAATGTTTTTTTACGATGAAATAAATGATATGATACTAGTGGCGAATTTTAAATATAGGGGGGGGGGTGTGGAGGTAGGGAGGGACTTTAACAAGGTCTATATTACCTCATCCCCCTCCATGGTTAGAGCTCAGGTAATAAATTTATGATTATGGCACCTCTGTATGGCCCGAAATGGCACTAACAGACTTAAAATTTGTACATTATATATATACATATATATATATATATATAAACTATTTAAAAAATAAAATTAATATTTTAATATATATATATATATATATATATATATTATATATATATATTTTTCTTGTGATTTTTAAAAAATGTAGGAGAACGTCGGCCGGCAGCCACCTTTAATCAACCTATATCACATATGTATAGGCCTGTCCTACAGTCGATGTCAGAGACAAATTATCCTCTTATGCCGGTTGGATACTACATCGATTACACTATGAGTAGGGCCCTTCGGGGTCCCCGCACGAGAGCGCATAGGTGTTACGCAACTGCTCTATCATATTCATGTGCATCGCACATGAAGATAGTTGGCGCCAAAATCTTACATTGTGGTACCTCGCCAGATAATGTGACTCAGTTCGAAAATGATTCTTTATAATGTACCGGTACTCTAGGATTGATTCTATAACGATAGTAGGAGATACACCCATTTATAGCAATTTATGAATGGTATGGTCCATACATCGAATGCCTTCGAGAATTCAGCCAGCATCAGTGTGCTGTTGCTTCACCTGACTTCCCGGCATATGGACACCATTCGATGATATATGTCAATCAGGCAGCGGGTGGTTGACTTACCCTTTTGATTACCATATTGGATATTGTCTATTGTCAATATTTGTTTTTATTGATTCAATAATGTGTTTAGAAACCAATATTTCCGCAATTTTTGCTAACAATGGAGTAAGTGAGGTTGGTCTTAAGGCATGAAGGGAGGGTGAGTTGGTTTTGAGTAAATTACATTCGCACATTGGGTCGGTATTTTGCCACTCTTCTTCTTCCATTCTAGTACAGACCACCTATCGGTGTATTTTCGTACTGTGGTTGTGTGCGAAGTAGGTGAAATTTTAGAATCAAAGATTCACTTTATTTTATTTATTTATTTATTTATTTATTTATTTATTATTATTATTATTATTATTATTATTTTATTATTTTTTTTTATTTTAATTTTTATTCTTTTTTTTTTATAAATAAAACATCAACCCATTTACTAGGCTCCTCTGGGAAGGGGGTGACTTCCATTTCACCTTATGGTGGAGTACCCATTTCACTGCTCTGTTTTAGTTGACACATTGACACATTGACAATGTCGGTAAACGGGGCACCATCTCGTAAGCACACTCTTTCAAATTTCTTTGTAGATACCATCGACACTCCTGATTTAGTAATTGATACATCATTAAGTGGTTTAAGTAGGCCTACATCCCATGAATTTAATTGGGGTGGTACGTCAATTGGTAAGTATGATAGAAGGGTTTCTGTGTAAATGGGTAAACTAGCAACATACTGATTTATTTTATTGAAACTCATTGGCCGTCAAACATGGGACAGGAATTATAGGGTCAGGGATTGTAGTAATTCATTTTTAACAATCGAAGAATCTATCAATTAATCAAGTTATTAAGTAATTACATTTTGTTGACGGGAATATATATATATATATATATATATATATATTTATTTATTTATTTATTTATTTATTTATTTATTTATTTATTTATTTATTTATTTATTTATTTATTTATTTATTTATTTATTTATTTATTTATTTATTTATGACACTGCTTTAAAAAATGTTATTAGGGCATCATACTCCATCCAATAATGGATAGATGTGTATAAGAGACAGCTACATTACTATATACAAAAGACTTCTTTGATTTGTTTACAGTTTTTGGAACTGAAGTGTCTTTTTTCTTTTCATCATCGCCCTCCTTTTCCCTTTCTCTCTCTTTTTGATAACGAAGCTTAACAGCTTGACCTCTGCTGTATTCACTGTCGACTTCATGGCCTAATTTGTTACTTGGAAACCATCCCATCTTCTTATCACTAAGTCGCATTCCCTTTACCCAGGCTAAAAAAAGTCATAAAAGAGTGCAATTAGAATATAATTATTCATACATTTATAAATCTATTTATTGAACTAAACGGTAACAATAATAGCACGGAACGCACAAGTAGGCCTACTTTAGGCCTACAGAACTAACTTAAAATCAGGAGCATGTTTTACTTTTGTCAAGGGCTTCCTGCATTTCTAGAATCTCTATGATGTCGTCGATTTCCAGATGAAGTTCGTCTTCTCTGTCAGTGATGAACGATTCAGTAACAATGTGGCTCGGTCGTCCTACAAGAAGAAATGTGATAGGAACGAGGCCCTAGAAGCAGTGGCGTCACTGTTCTAGGGCAGACGGGTGACTGTTATTGGGGCCCTAATTAGTGAGCGAAGGGAGCGTTAAGTTTGTGAGCAGAGCGAACAAACAGACAGAAGCTGGCGGCCAGGGAGATGCGTAGGGCCCCGGTCAGGGTCCGGGGGGTAAATACTCCTGGTGGGGTCCGAGTTATCTGCGTTGTCAGAGAATAGAATGATCCATGACTGATGAAATATTTTAGACAATTTTATGACACAACCAACATAGATTACATAGGCCAACTTTCGGAACTGGTAGGCCTATGTACTCTATGTGCAGTGGTGGCGCCAGGGGGAGGGCCCCCCGTCGGGGAGAGCTTCCCCCCACCCCCCGTCGGGAAAAAATTATTTGTATTTTCTACATATTAGTGGACTCTAAAATCGATTAAATAAGCCTTTGAAACCCCTAAATTGTCAAAATTTTCGGGGTCTCCGCCCCCTGGACCAGTTTCGGAACTTTTAATCAAAACTTGACCACGTCCACTTTGCTTTCGTCGGGGAAATCTGACCCCTCGTCGGGGGAATTACTCCCCCCGCCAGCCTCCGCTGTCTATGTGTAAATAAATACAGAAAATATTTTAGTGAAAATCCAAAACATGTTTTAATAACGTATATACTAACTGGTCACGCGCGAAATAGATCAAGTGTGGTTCGCAAGACAAACCGCAACACAAACAAAAAACTGCAGCGATCGTTTACATGAGCCCCAGATAATGTGGTTTCTGTATGATGATGACAGGCCAGAAAGTACGTGTATTTTCAATGTTTGAAACTGTCGGGGCCCCATTGAATGGAACCATGGTATTCAAGTTTATATTAAATCTTTTAACTAACAGTGCCAGGGCACCTGGCGCCCCGGCCCCAGTCAGCGCCCGAGCGTGACGCCACTGTTTAGAAGAACTATATATTGTATCATCAAAAGTGTTAAGTCATAAAAATAACATTTATAAAAATATTATTTAATAATTAAAATTTAAAAAAAAACATTTGACTTACTATAATCATCAAATTTTCCCGATTCGCCTGTAGCCACAACAAGTGCCGATTTCCATTCCAATAAATCCTTCCTGAGATGAAAAGAACTAATACAGTTTTAAATGACGACTAACCTTCAAAACCTTTATCCATGTCTTGCTGTTGTTAAGATAATTTGATTTTTTTTTAATGAAGCTACTATTGAAGTTGTGGCCGAATGGGCAGGAGGTTTATCCATAATTTAATTCCACTCGCTACGTTTCACAATGACACTGCTTTAAAAAATGTTATTAGGGCATCATACTCCATCCAATAATGGATCTTTCCAGATTGTCAATCAAACTTAACAACTGGCTAATCAGAGCATCGCTAAGAATACGCGCTTATCACACACGTGTGTCCCACAAACGCACGTGTTTACGTCAATAAAGATCAATGGTTTACCGACGTCAATAAAGATCAATGGTTTACATTAGACGAGACATTTTTATACCTTCTTTTGCGCATTTTTTTAAAGATCGTCAGAAGGCCAAAAAAAAAAAAAAAAAAATCAAAATAAATTATTGTTTTCTTATTTAGCAACCAGTTTTGTCAAAAACATCCAGACGAAGGAGAAAATAAAAATAAAATGTTATTGGTGAATGTAAACAGTGTAGTAATGGGATTGTTAAATGCTTTACATTTGTGAAGCAATATACATTTTTTATTTTTGGTATTTTAAGGGCAGTGGTGGGTGTAATAAAAATAAAGAAAAACTTTTCTGGAATTTCTATTTTTTCGTAGCGGCGAGTGCCAAAAAAATTTTTTTTTTATACGAAATCATCATTATTGGTGGGCGGAGGATTCGCTAAAAAAAGTCTCGCCTTAGTAACACTGTAAGGGGTGGGGCTAAGCGGAAGTATCTATTGACGAGACTTTCACTGTTTTTTGAAAATAATACAGATAGAACTTCTATTAAGGGGACATCTTCAGGACCAAAAAAGTTTCCCATTAATAGGGGTGTCCTCTAAATAGGGGTACCCCTATTCTGGGGACACTAACCAAAAATGTGAAATTGTCCCCTTAATAGGGGGCTTTGGATGTTTTCCTATAATGATGACATAGATTCCTTATAATTTTATTTTAATTTGACCTAAAAATGAGTTACAGTTTAATTATACCTAATTTATAACAATAATTTGCAATGCAAAAAATAATTCATTTAAGATATGAAATTAACAGATATGTAATTAAAACTACAATATTTGTGTATGTTCTCGATATTGTTTCTTTATTGGAGTGCAATGTTAATGACCAAATATTCTTTTTAAATATCAAGTTTTCTATTGGATGCACAAGATAGAATGCTTTTAATACTGATGATGTTACCAAGGCTGTCCGGATAAATCAGAATCCTATCAAAATACAGTACACAAAACAAGAAAAACTTACATTGTAAAGTATTAGGAAATATCAAATAAAAAAAAACTAAAAAAAAAAAAAAACTCCACTGCATCATGCTATAGAATTCCACTTGTTCCTATCCAGAGAGTATACAGTAACATCAATTCTGACTTATTGGTTTACTATTATTATATTTTATGTAGTAGATTCAAATTCATGCTTACATTGATCGATCGGAGTTTAGACCGATGACGTATTCATGTTGCTTATAATCGGCATCTTCCTTTTCATAGATCCACAATTTGAACAAATTTTCTCTCTCAGGCATCCAGTTTTCTCTGGATTTTGCATCTACGATACCCACATCAACGTAGTTACGATCAAAACATCTACAGAACCTCGGTCTGTATCATTTTAAATATATAATTTCATCATTTAGACAAAAATAATATGTTTTTAAAATAAATATCTATGGTTTATAATTTGCGTTCTTAAATCTTGTATTACGACTTACATTTTTAGATTTTCGACAGTTTCATCTGAAGAAGAAGTCAAAATTATGGCAGATGTACATACATAAAGGTTGATTTGAGTCGAATGATATCGCCTCTTCAACGGATTCACGAGATCTTTTTTTCGTTTTCTAAACATTTCCATGCGATCATGTTTCTGAATCCAATCATCTTGTATATTCGACAACTTCTGTACTTGCAAAAGAAAGTTCAATCAATGTTATACACATTCAATATAAGTGCTAAAGTCCCAACCCTATATTTAAAAAACTCACCAATGGATATAAATGAAATTTTATAGTTTAGATTATAATAAAATTTTGGTGACGATCCGGAGTAGGGTGTGAACATGAGGACCATTTAAAGGAAAAACGTCCCAGACCAGATATCCCATTATCATTTTTATTAATACATAATTCAATCATCAGATTGCCTATAATAACACTTAATTTTACTTGAATCAAATGAGGCTCGTTGATCGTCTCAGTCGGCAACATCAGTAGTGCGGATGTGACGTGCTTGTTATAGTCTTGTTCGACACTTTCTTTGAGATGCTGTCCACGAAGAATCAGCTGTTTTAACATGTGCAATGTATTTGCATTTAAACGATGAAATATTTCCTGATGGTCCGGGTCCCTTATAATTGCGGCCTCTAAAGACTGAATAAAATAACAAGCAATGTAAAGCTGCTTGACCAGCGTAGATGTTAAGTTTAAAAGTCCTTGGTTTAGTACCGGCACTTTTTGGACCAACATTTCATTGTTTAAAGATATGTCACAAAAACACATTAACCATCATAGGGGTAACTATAATATGCAATGGGTTCTTTAAAGTGCACACGAACCAGATGTGGTACACATTAGCGTCGATGTTAAGGATAGTTTAATTAGAGATGCCCCTGATTTTTCACTCGGCCATGACTTAGTATGTAGAGCATGTTGTGTATGTTTGTCTTGTGAAACATATTTTCATCTATACATATCAATAAAAATAATAATAAGTAAAAAATATGAAAGGATATAAGAATAAAATAAAATAATGAGGACTCCCTCAAAATGATCACATGACATTGATCGTGTCGAATTATTCCGGTTTCAATTATTAACTCCAGGTTAGTTAATGTTCTACAAATAAACCTATATCAGGAAACTGGTTTATGCCAAACCACTTTACCTTCAATTTGTGGTAAAGCCTTGTTAGCCAATCGGCTGGTTTGGACAGCCGCACCTGAAAGTCCATTTGAGAGACACGCCATTTAGCTTGAGCATTTCTTTCCAAGTTTCCAAGTGCCTGACTGAATGCTGTAGGGTGTTTTCTAATAGAAAAGTGTATTAATTTATTAATGTATTAATAAATTAGTACGGCACCAAAATGATTGTTATTTTAAAGTATTCTGCTGAAGACTGCTGTAATAATATATTATAGCAGAGTCGGGACCAAATATAATTAATCCAATGAATTAGCATTAGAGAGGCCTATAATTTTTTAAATTCTAATTCACCCCATAGGTTTCACTAAAATATTTTTCTCATATTTTTGGTATTCTCATTTCATGTTCATGGGTTTGTGAATGTACCAAACACCATTGCATGTACATTCATAAAATGTGAAATAATCGTTTATCTATTTAAATGGATCCAGCATTTATCTCAATGTAAATACAAATAATAATAATAATAATAATAATAATAATAATAATAATAATAATAATAATAATAGTAATAATAATAATAATAAATAATAATAATAATTACTATTATCATTATTTTTTCATCCAAATTCCTTTTTATTTTCTCTGATACACAACATAAATTCCACTGCAAGGTCGCATTCGACTAATATTTTGTGAGTAACAAACATCCAGTGGGAGCAGAATAGTATGTTTTTAAGCATCTTTAAAACGCTCAACGTATGTATTTGATAAATAACTGTTCCTTATTTTCTTTTTGGAAGATTAATTTTTTTTTCTTTGATAAAAGAAATCGAAATTTACAGGCAAATTCCTCGCTTGAAGGAAGCTTATCTTTCAACTTACAGGTGAAAATATGTTTAGCATTAAAAACTAAGAAATTAATTGAATTCTCCTCGCCATGACCCAAAAATATGGCATGATCCATGAATTCGAAGTTTTCCCTCAACACGTTTTTTAGCAATATTCTCCCAGAACAGGTTCACATGGCTCAACGTATGTATTTGATAAATAACTGTTCCTTATTTTCTTTTTGGAAGATTAATTTTTTTTTCTTTGATAAAAGAAATCGAAATTTACAGGCAAATTCCTCGCTTGAAGGAAGCTTATCTTTCAACTTACAGGTGAAAATATGTTTAGCATTAAAAACTAAGAAATTAATTGAATTCTCCTCGCCATGACCCAAAAATATGGCATGATCCATGAATTCGAAGTTTTCCCTCAACACGTTTTTTAGCAATATTCTCCCAGAACAGGTTCACATGGCTCAACGTATGTATTTGATAAATAACTGTTCCTTATTTTCTTTTTGGAAGATTAATTTTTTTTTCTTTGATAAAAGAAATCGAAATTTACAGGCAAATTCCTCGCTTGAAGGAAGCTTATCTTTCAACTTACAGGTGAAAATATGTTTAGCATTAAAAACTAAGAAATTAATTGAATTCTCCTCGCCATGACCCAAAAATATGGCATGATCCATGAATTCGAAGTTTTCCCTCAACACGTTTTTTAGCAATATTCTCCCAGAACAGGTTCACATGGCTCAACGTATGTATTTGATAAATAACTGTTCCTTATTTTCTTTTTGGAAGATTAATTTTTTTTTCTTTGATAAAAGAAATCGAAATTTACAGGCAAATTCCTCGCTTGAAGGAAGCTTATCTTTCAACTTACAGGTGAAAATATGTTTAGCATTAAAAACTAAGAAATTAATTGAATTCTCCTCGCCATGACCCAAAAATATGGCATGATCCATGAATTCGAAGTTTTCCCTCAACACGTTTTTTAGCAATATTCTCCCAGAACAGGTTCACATGGCTCAACGTATGTATTTGATAAATAACTGTTCCTTATTTTCTTTTTGGAAGATTAATTTTTTTTTCTTTGATAAAAGAAATCGAAATTTACAGGCAAATTCCTCGCTTGAAGGAAGCTTATCTTTCAACTTACAGGTGAAAATATGTTTAGCATTAAAAACTAAGAAATTAATTGAATTCTCCTCGCCATGACCCAAAAATATGGCATGATCCATGAATTCGAAGTTTTCCCTCAACACGTTTTTTAGCAATATTCTCCCAGAACAGGTTCACATGGCTCAACGTATGTATTTGATAAATAACTGTTCCTTATTTTCTTTTTGGAAGATTAATTTTTTTTTCTTTGATAAAAGAAATCGAAATTTACAGGCAAATTCCTCGCTTGAAGGAAGCTTATCTTTCAACTTACAGGTGAAAATATGTTTAGCATTAAAAACTAAGAAATTAATTGAATTCTCCTCGCCATGACCCAAAAATATGGCATGATCCATGAATTCGAAGTTTTCCCTCAACACGTTTTTTAGCAATATTCTCCCAGAACAGGTTCACATGGCTCAACGTATGTATTTGATAAATAACTGTTCCTTATTTTCTTTTTGGAAGATTAATTTTTTTTTCTTTGATAAAAGAAATCGAAATTTACAGGCAAATTCCTCGCTTGAAGGAAGCTTATCTTTCAACTTACAGGTGAAAATATGTTTAGCATTAAAAACTAAGAAATTAATTGAATTCTCCTCGCCATGACCCAAAAATATGGCATGATCCATGAATTCGAAGTTTTCCCTCAACACGTTTTTTAGCAATATTCTCCCAGAACAGGTTCACATGGCTCAACGTATGTATTTGATAAATAACTGTTCCTTATTATCTGCCCCAGAATAATACATTAATTCTATCTACTTCTTATTTATTATATTTATTAATATATGACTCTCTTTATTCAAACACATTAATTTCATTATAGGTCTGTATATAATGTACATATATATGTATATATATATATATATATATATATATATATATATATATATATATATATAGAGAGAGAGAGGGGGCGGGGGGAGAGTACAACGCGTGTGATCCTTTGACTTACCATATTCCGTATCTTGACACTGTTTTTCCTCTTCGGAAAATTCGAATGCCTTCGTCCACTCTTGTATTTCATTGCTTTAATATAATTTGCAAATACCAAAATATGTAATTGTGTTTGAAATTTAGGTATAATTATGAACTTCCAATAATTGGTAAACATAGAAATAAATCTAACTTTAATGTATCCAAAATATCTATATACAATATCTGAATACTGTCTATACAATAACCAGTCGATATATTAATTTCTACTTTTGAACAAATTAAGTCTTCTTCTTCTCATCGAGTCCATATTTAAATTTATGCCCAGCCATGGCTGGACACACTCCTTTGCATTGTTGTTGTATTTTGTGAGGTCTTAAGTAAATTAATTTTATATGCACGTAAGGCCTTGTCCAGACTATCAATTTTTTTCTGTGGTATGACCAGGATGTGATGTCATTATGACCCTATTTAGGAATGTCACATTTCTGTTTTCATATAAAATGTGATATTCTGAACAGTCTGTTGAGTTTGTTTTTCATGAAATCACCACACGGATCACCAGGGAGCTTCTGGTGACGCTGATTTGCTGGTCGAATCCAGGGGCGATTCTGGTTTGTTTATAACAGGCCTAACATAGACAATTATGGCAGCAAAGAAACAAGTTGAGTAATGATTTATTATAAATAAACAATAAATACTCATGACAGATACATTCATATGCTATATGTTTATTTTGAGAATGATGGATGGACGGATTTATTCGGTGTAAACACGAAGGGTAAAAAACGAAAGTCTGAAGAAGACTTATTTCTATGTGGGGTCCTCGTGGTGATTGGGTAGTACACCGGGAGACAAGACCCCAAGCCCCAACTCTTTTCCGAATATTTTACTGCGTTCTTTAAACGTGCACACATGACCAACGGCTTAAACGTCTCATCCGAAAAACAGTGCGATATCGTAACTTGCATTTCAGCTAAAACACAAGGAGAGCAACCGGGGACCCAGATATCTCCACGGTTCAGCGCACACACAGTGGCTACCACCAGTATAGCCGACTGAGCAATGCTGCTCTCATAATTATGGTATTCAGCTTATAGGCCTGATAGTAAAATGTCTTGAAATATTGGTTTTATACTAAATGTTCAATCTGTATTTTAAAAGATATGTAATTAATACAGTAATGTATAGTATTTATGAAATATAGGCCTATCGTTATTAAGTCGAAGCTCATTTATTTCTTTTCCAGTGCAACTCCATGTAGCCATGGCGTTTTTAATAATATTCGTTTTAGTTGCAACTGGTCGAAATAATAATTGCATAATTAAGTTGAGATCAGCATTTTAGTAGATGTTTTCATTGGTATATGATGACCTACATTTTGTATTTTACAAATTTCGTCGTTCGATTGTATAAGTATACCACTCAATGCATTAAAGAGTTTAATATATTTTTTGAGGTGTATATCTGTTTATATAAAATTAATTAGATATTACATTTAAAATGGAAGTACTACACTGTATTCCCTTTTATACTTTGCGGTTCTTTTAATGAACATTGACCTATGTTTTTATGTACATGCATTCATTTTTTTCGTATTTGAATTGAAGTAATTTATGTACAAATACCTGTCTTCGAGTGTGAATCCATATTCTTTGACAGGCAACTTGGTAAGCGGGTCCAACTTAGTTAGTATCAGTGTCTCACCTCCTGTGCAGCCCATGTTCTGATAGACTTGTCTTTCAAATTTGATATTACTTTTATGGACACAGTCTATCACTCTTAAGTATTCACTGATATATAAGAAAATAAATAAATATATTGATGAGCTGTAATAATTAGGGTATAAACGAATAGTAGAATACTGCAACAGCAGCCGCACAACAGTGGTTTAAGTAGTACCGGTAGTAGCTCTTGATTTGATTTTAGATATCCCCAACAACATCATTTATTCTCAACACTCATAAGTTAATAACAGAAGTTTTCACCTAAAAATACGATCCAATATAAAACTAACCATCGGTGTTTTGATATCTAGTAGGCTTATATGGCATAGTCATAATTTAATACGTATTCAAATACCCTTTATCTTCCACAATAATGACTGTTGAAACAAAAGCCATCATTGTGCACTTCTTCCTCTTGTCTATTACTGAGTGCCTCTTGCTTTGTTTGATGTCCTCAGTAAGATAAATGGTACCCGTCTTTTTAACCCAACTCTCCTCGCTTACCATAGCTTTCTATACAAATTAGAGAAATTTGTATTAAAAACATAATAAGCAATTAACACGTAAATAGGCATAGTATGTTGGCTTTTGTCTCTTCCATTTAAGTTTTTTATTCTGTATAATATTTCTCAATAAAATGTGACTGTCTTTTTTTTGGGGTTAATTCTAGGATAGTCTGTTCTTGTTTTTTTTTCCTCTGTTCTTTCAATCTCATGCATCATTTTTTTCTGCTTTTTCTTACGTTCACCTTACATTTCTTTACTTGGACATGGCACGTAGAGATCTTGTTTATTTGCGCCTATTATTAGTGATCTAGTAACAAATGTTTTGATACAGGTGATAATATAATATAATAGGCCTATATCATAATGTAATGTAACGTAACGTAACTTAACGTAATATAATGTAATATAATATAATATATATAATATTTATTTATTGTGTATTCGGTAACCTATCGTGTTTGATTATTGAAAAATATATAGGGTCCAAAGTCAGGCTGAGTATCTGACCTAACTTGCATGTTCAGCTTTTTTATTCTGTTATAATACTATGTGTGTGACGATTATTAACGTGATAATTGCCGATCAGTTACTAAGGCTGACTTACCTGAGACTCGCGTTCTTTCTCACCTACATATTTAAACCGAAGTTTTTGAAGTATAGATGTGCTGTGATGCTGAATATCTCGAATAATGCGGCTTTCGTGTTCATTACAGTTGAGAATTATTTGTTGTAATTTGCAACAACATTCTTTCATATCTTCAATCACCGATGTGTCTTCCACTTTCTCAACAACTAGAGCGTCACAGAAACTCTGAAAACCAAAATAAGAATCATGATTATTGAACACTGAGCATGAAGAATTTTTTTGTGAATTATTGTGAAGTTACGTATTGTTTGTAAACATAGCGTAAACACACGCATATTACCTTTAATATACTATGAAACTTCTTCAGCCAGTTAGCTTGTCTCAGTATGATTTCTTGAAGATCTTTAAATGATAGTTTGTAGTTCATGTTTTCTTCGGAGCCTCGTCTTTGTAAACTTGTAAACTTTTCCGCAAAGTGGAGATGCCCATACCTATAAAATGACAAGTTGTAGTACTTTCAGTTGTAAAACTATTCTATGTTCCAGAAGAAATTCTCAATCTCGTCTCTTATTTTTATAGTAAAATTCTGTCTAGTATAAAGCCTAACGAACTATCAATATCACGACACATTTACCTTATGCATTTCAACATGTTCATTTGAAGCTGTGAATATATTGCAAAGTTGATGATCGGTTGTAAATAATCTGCTTCAAGAATATTGGTTATTAGTTGACAAATAGCAGGAGTTTGCCATTTACATTGGTTGAACCAAGTATAAATCCTATTAATTCAGAAGAAACGCAAAGTTTTGATTATTACAATGATGAATTGCAAAATCGATTGTGTAAAGAGAAATCTGTGTAAAATAACATTCAACTACTTAGGCCAAGTAGTAATAATAATAACCATCTTCAATAGGTGTTTGGTCAATTTTATGTACGTGCATATTTTAACTCTTTTAATTAGTGGTTAATAGTGTTTATATAAATACTTAACCTAATGTAATTTTTTTCACCATCATAAATTCTTACATCTTTTGGCGTTTTTCATTACTTTGCTTAAACTCCAAGAACGGACTTAGGGGGGAGGGGGCGGGCCGGCCCCGCCCCAATCCAATCCGATCTTCGACTTATAAGGCGCATTATACGAAGTCTCAATGCGTCAATTTGAGGGAGTGCTCAGGAAAAAAATAAACAAAGTTTAAAAAGAAAGAAGAAAAAAAAATAAATAAATGATCGCTCCAAACGCTTCATGATTTATTATCAGGCCGTTTAAAAAACACAATTTTCGCTGGCGGACTCCATTGGGTAGTGTTGTCTCGATCGGCCCCACTTTCGGCCCCTTTCCCTTTCGGACATCTCTGGATTCACCCCTGACCTAAAACTATATGCTCATAACAAAATATGTTATGCATACATTGTAGGCTTAATTTCTCCACCTCTTCTGTTTAGAATACTTTACAAATTACACCTTATGCGCGCACTTACTAAAATCGAAATAATGTACCACATTTAATACCTCATCTGATCGTGTTTATTCAATACAGGACTACAGTCTAAGTCGGGGTACCCTTAAATAATAAACTGAAATATTAAATTGCTCATTTAAACAGATCAAACAATTTATCAACGTCTAGAGAGATACCAACACACAATCGTTGAAATATACAATTTTACTCTAGATATATTTTGATTTTCTGCAACCATATTAAGTTTTCTGTATAATACAGGAATTTTACTGTTTATGCAAAATAATTTGTAATTACTTCAAATTTTTCTTTTGTTTTAATTATTTATTAGCTTAACACAGTATAGCTTTAATATGTAGACATACACACATATCCTGAGTTTTATTTGATATATCTATCACTTTGCCAATGCATCTACTTCTTATTTTCCTGTTATATAAACATTTATTTATATAATTATATCTATAACATTATCGCAAGACGGTTTAGAGTTTATCCCTATTATGTCATGATTTATATCTATACATACATACATAC